GTTAGCTTCACGGTGAATTTCAAATGGCATTCTGGTGTTGCAGAATCAGAGAAGTCACTGCTAGCTGTTTTGTTTTTTTTGTTTGGCATCCAGTTTGTCTGACGTCATGTGGTGGTGACTGGACAATGACAAGACCCTTCGTGTGTTTGACCTTGCTAAGAAATGCTGCAGTCACTAGATTTAAAATCAGCTAAGACTTCATTAAATAGTGAAATGTCTCACTTTCAAAACCTATGCTTTCTTAATGCAGCTATATACTGTATATACAGTGGGGGAAATAAGTATTTGACCCCTTGCTGATTTTGCAGGTTTGCCCACTTACAAAGAATGCAACGATCTATAACTTTAATCATATGTACATTTGAACAGTGAAAGACAGAATCCCAAAGAAAATTCCAGAAAATCACATCACATGTATTTATAAAAATTGATAACCATCTGATGAGGAAAAATAAGCATTCTTTGTAAGTGGGCAAACCTGCAAAATCAGCAAGGGGTCAAATACTTATTTCCCCCACTATATATATATATATGTGTGTTCATAGGATGTTTTCTATTCTGAATTGGGACTTTATGATGACAACGTCCAGGAAAGTTTGAACAAAAAGTTAATTTATCTGCTAATTTTTTCCACAGATCCTTTTTCTCTGTAGGTTCTTTATTAAAATCAGGGTATAGTAGTGTTCGATACCCAACTGCCAAGGATCATTGAACAACCTGGGAAGGTAACCAGTCCATCACATGGCATGCACAGAGACAGACAAGACTAACAAGCACACAACCTCACAATAAGTCTTAATTTAGATCCTCAGTTAGCGTTCTTGCAGGGAAGAGATACTGCTCCCCACCAGATCCACGTGCAGCCAAGGGAGCTTTTACGTTCTTTTTTACGCGTGTATAAAAGGAAATTGGGCTCCGTTGAACTTGGACAAAAACAATAAACAAAAAACAACTCTCACGTTCCGCCGAGAAATTATTTTTCTACAATGTTGCTGACACCCACTAGTGCTCATGTGTGTATTTAAAAAAAAAAAGGCTATATGAGGGCTCGGCGTATGGAAAAGAGATAGGAAACATTCCGATGTCAGTATCAATATATATTCTGTATGTTGTAACAAAAAAAAATCACCACACAGTCTACTTTCCTGGCTTTTCTATTCATCCCAGCGTTTTCTTCCACTTTCTTTCGACCCCTGCGGCGAAAAGCCAGCCAGACATAAACAGTATTGTTTTACCTGGGTAGGACTCGCAGCGGGGCGCCGCTAGCCCCCCACGCCTCGCGCGGCCTACAGCTCTCCACACGCCTCAGTGATATCCCCTTCTTTACGGCTCAGCGCTTGCATACATATGAATGCCCCCTGTCTTCTACCCTTCACGCTTCCGAGCGGGTCCGAGCTGAGATTGCCACGCTCGCTGGACAGAGGGGATGTGAGGGAGAGAGTTGTTGCATTCCAGTGCTAGTAAATGAACTGAAATGACATTCTTTAGAATTATTATAGGTTTGATGGTACTTGAGCTGGGGAGTGCTCCCCTGTGGTGTGGTCTGCTAAGTTGTTATAAGCACACCGTAGGGTAGTTTTCAATGTATATTCGGAGTGAAAAAAATAGTATTCTTTTTAAAAACAGTGGGAAAATACAATAGCGTATTATAATGAGTGTTTTCTTTATTTTGAATCAAATATTTCTGGTCTATCTCAGTATTTTCCGGCGTTTTTTGCAGGAAATAGGACCGCTCAGCTCAAATTAGTGATCGTATTGGTCATAACATTAGCAATAGTGTCTGTGAAAAGTCTCCTTTTTTCATTATGCCACAGAAATTTGCTAATTCACTTCCTTTCTCTGCCATCTTGCACTGTGTGGTCGGTTTGCCTCTCCTGATGGCTGAAAGCCCCATTTGTATAACTTCCTCTTGTTTGATTATCCCTGCGGTACATGGAATGAAATGAGCCGGCTGTCCAGATGAAGCTGTGTTTGCAGGATGGGCTGCAGCAGTGTCCTTTCACAGCCATTGTCACACCGAGCTGCATACCTTCCAATTTACACCCTCTCTGGTTCGGGGGAAGATACCAATTGATTTGCTATCACCGAGCCAGTGTACAGAGTAAATGGGAAACGTGGGCCCTATTATTTCTGTCGGTTGATAAAACATAAGGCTAAACCCCCATGTCTTTATTACGAGGCCCCCTTTAACCGCATCACGCCCTTCGACTAAAGAGCTGCAGGTGTAAATTTGGTGTAAATTAATCACGTACAGTAATGACGCCGTCGGAAATTGATGTGTGTTTAAATTATCGCTGTGGCATTAAATTCCGTGAACACGGGGATGTGATTAATGAGATTACGCTTAGCGTTGGGGAAACAACCGTAAACGCCAGCTGTAGTTTTCGTAAATGCTTAATGCGTGTCACCCCCGCGGGCCACTGCCCAAACCAACATAGGGAGATTTGTTTGCCTCGGAGAAGGTTATATTCGACGTTTCGGCGTCTCGAGATCTGCACGACAAATTGGGAGAACGTGAAACAAACCCATTTTTGGGTGCGCCCACTCTTCCATATTTCAAATTTGACCAAAAGAAATAAAAGGGGGCTAAACCTTTCAGGTAGAAAGGTGGCAGAAACAGAGTATGAGCTCTCTCCAGACAGTGTACACTACAGGCTTTTTACATAGCTAATTGTTTTTCCCTTTGCAGCTTTTTGTTTTAAAAAAAAAAAGAACAATCCATTCAGCTCTTTCTTCCTCGGAAGTTGATATCGTAGGTGTTGTGTTGTTATTATTATGATCGCCTCAATGCTACAGGCTCCGAATAAAAGCCAGAGACAATAACCCTCCTACAGCATAGGCCTCTGTGCCAAACGCCTAGCCTACAGCCGCATCCATCTCTGCAGCAACCCCAAAATTCCTGTGCAATATCTAGGGGGAAGGACAAGCTAATCTGCACCGATTTGAAATAGGACCAAAAACACAGGCTTTCCTAATCCCTCTTTTTTTATTTCTTTTTTTTTTTTATCAGGGGTAGTGTTGAGCATTTTACCCCTATGGGAGAGAAAGAAAGAGAGTTATTTCATGCTTCACTGATTCCACTGTTTTTATGAAGATTTCCCCTGTCCTTATCCTTACTTCCACACTTCAATCCATAGTGTAACTGAATTTTTTAAAGCCACTTTGCAATAGTCAGACACCTTCTGGAAGTGCTAAGGTGCTTTTCGTAATTAGGGCTGTGTAGATGGTGGCTTTTTTCCCTCTGTGGCAGCAATAATTTAACTCTGTGGCAGATAAGGTATCTCTGAAAATAGGAGGTGCAATTTCCTTAGCTGTCTTTCTTTTCCATTCATTTGGCAATTGGCAAATACCTATGGTACAAAGCATATGACTTGTTTCCTGGATATACAGCGTGAGTGATTTTATTATTTTTTTTCCCACACATCTCTGGCATACAATTCAGACAATTATAATTCATTACAGTCCGCCAACCAATTTGTTTGATACGTACATTTTGAAAGGGGGGAAATTCATCTTATATCCTCAGGTATTAAGGCAGAGAAATTAAAAGCAAACAAAGAGATGCTCGTCCTCGGGCTCAGTCCATTTCCGATGATAATGATAAGAGATTTCCTCTTTTTCAATAACAGATGTGCATTTTCTGTTGATAATAAATGGACTGTCAGGCCTTGGTGTTCGTTTTACGTCGATGGGAGCAAGTTATCTAAGCTATAGTTCAGCGGACTCAAGAGGAAAATGTCAGCAGCTGACACAAAATGTTTTTTTTTGTTTAGTTTGTTGTTAGTGCTGTAGTGCAGCAAGCGGGAACACGGAGAAAAAGAGCTCATTGATCTGCAGTGATCTAAACGCTGCAAAAAAAAAAAAGGCACAGGGTAGAACAAGCAGTATGAAATTTTACAAGGTAAGCCCTGGCAACACAACAGCATGGGTCATCATAAGACTATGAATTACTGGAACACCTCTGTCTCAGAGGACCACTTGAGGCTCCCTCACTGTGAAATAATTGGGTTGCAACAGTGAAACTGCTTCTTCGGTTAGAGAGCAAAGGTGGCTTTTTGCTGTGTTTTGCTGCTACAACACGGCGGACGTGGCGGTGACTATAAATCAACGCTTGACGCGTGGAGCTGACGGCACCTGAAAACCGGACAGAGGTCCAAAAAAAAAAAGAAAAACAAATATGCACGGATGAGAGCGCTGGTCATTTTTTTTTTTCTTCGACAACAGAAGAAACAGAACAGAATTTGTGTTTTTTTGTCGCACAGAACAACTTATGACAATCCGTCATAACATCTGGCACAGCAGTCCCCCCGACCCCAAACCCAACCCTTTCTCGTTTTTACCCAAAACTGGACCGCGAGGATCACGAGGCCATAACCGAAATCCACTCTTTGGCACAGATTTGGGTGCCTATGGGCCAGACTTGTGCCGTCCGCGATGGGGGACGTCTCCCTTTGTTGTCAGAACACCTCTAAACATCTTTCACCGAAACAATTACCATACCATCTGCTGTTAGCTGTTAGCTTCTTTTCTCTCTTTCTTTCTCATCCTCATTCCCATAATGCCGAAGCTACCAAGGGCTGGATCAACATTAACCGAAACCAAATGGGATAGTATTTTTATATTCCTTCGGGATTTTGTTTTTTGTTTTTTTTTCAGAGACCTTATAATGCTGCTTTGATTTGTCACTAATCTCTTATCTGAAATGCCCAGAGCACTGGGTCGAGATGGAATATTGATGACGGCCCCTTGCATACATTTTCCACAAACCTAATAAAGCTGCTCTAATAAAGAGCCTGATTCATACCGCACCAGGGGTTGTTGATGGAAAAAGATGAAAAGGTATCCATGGCATTTGCTGTTTTCATTTGTGATATACACGAAGCAATAAAGTACAGCGGAACATAAATGATGTGCAAAACACAACGAAATACATCAACGCGCTCATGTTTCAGCGGCCTTTATGAGTTTTGTAAAACTTGTCGAAAAAACTCTATTTCAAGATGTCGTGTGCCATGTCCAGGCTCCTTGGACCTTCTTGTGTTTGATATTTGTCTCTGCTTGACATACAGGTCTAATACACACCCACAGGAGGAGAATAGAGGTGAATTAGGAGTATGCCACACGTGACGGCAGAAGGGTTTTATGACAGGTCGTAAAATACATACTTTGATTTTTGGATAAATACAATGAGACCCAGAGATGTGTCGGTGTATAAATGACATATATTGTTAAAGATTCTGTACTAGAAACAAAATTTTTCATCAAACAATTTTCTTTTCTAGTTTTGCATGGCAGTGGTCTTTCAGATTTTCTTTTGTGTTTCGATTTCCAGCAAAAGACAAAATGAAAGGCGTGCATTTTAGTACAATTTCAGCTGTATCACTACATATACACATATTAGTGCTTGACCAAAACAACATGTAGTTCTTTTGAGTTCTGGATGAGGACACGCACAGTGCCCGAGGTGCCTTTGCTAATTTGCGTCTATTTGCATGCTTACAGTATCCAGGCCAAAAAGAACAATGGCTTTGAGAGGCATGTACAGGAATCATTTGGTCATCAGTAGGCGCAATTACTTTGCACGTTATAATGGAACTGTGGCACATCCATCACTGTCATGTCAATTTGCACACTGGCTAACGTATCCAGCCGAATCTGGCACCGCACAAGATTAGATACCTAATCAACACTGACACGGTTGGTTTGCTCGCCGTGGCCTAACCCCTCCCCCCTCCTCATGAGCTCATGTCACAGTCCTCACAAGGACCAGACACTTGACAAGGCGAACTTTGACCTGTCCACGCGCAACCGGATGATGAATTAGGTCTGAGGCAACGCCTTTTACTTTGCTCTGTCTCTGTTAAAAGGGATGATCCATTTTTCTTATGATTTATGAAGCCAGGAAAAGACTTTTCTGAGTGAACCGCAAAGTTTCCGCTTCCCTCCTGGAACCGGATGGAACATTCGGAATTGGATTTTTGAGCCAATCAACCCCACATAGGGTCGAGGGGTTCCATCCTGATTGGCTCGGGACGAATTCGCATTTCAGTGTACAGCTATGCAGAGATGATTGCCTATTGAGCCCGCCGTCCATAACTATGTTTTTTTTTTTTTTTTTTCTGCATCCCAGGTACCCCAGTTACTAGGGTAACGGCCACAGATGCCGACGATCCAGTGTACGGGAACAGTGCGAAACTGGTCTATAGCATACTGGAGGGACAGCCGTATTTTTCAGTGGACCCGAACTCTGGTAAGTGCAGTTGCCTTCTTATTATTAACGTTTTAGTATTTGAAGATCAATCCCTGCAAATGATGGAGAAGTTGTTGTAATTCACCTTAATTGGAAGACAAAGCATGTCAGATATTCGTGTTGAACACTTCTTCCTCGCAAATAGAATATGCAATGAGAGAGGTCAGATGCTATACACACCCAGTCCACTTATATCACCGTAACTTTTCTTTTTTAGAGATGAGACGCAGGAAAACACCATAGTGGAGCCGGAAAAAGCTCTTTGTGCCGTCGTTCATTGTTTGGCAAGGCTACTCAAAAAGGATACCCGCGAGATCAGAATGTTGCCTTATTAAATTTAATGAGACTTTTGTAATACGGTGCGCTGGCCCCCTTTGTCAGTCCCCAAATAGTTGGGGAGCATATCATCCCACAAATTGAGAATGAATAAAGGCCACACCACTAATGACGCGAAAAGGAAGAAAAAAAGTGCTTTCATACTGAGACAGTGATTACATCTAAGTATTGGTTTGACGGTCTTTTTCTTGTAGACTGTGCCAGGTACATTAGGTTGAACATTTATAATTCAAACGTTGTCCTTTTTCATAAACTGCGTCCTGACTGATAAATGATCTTAGAATGTCGAAGAGTGGGCTATCAGGGTTTGACTGAACCTCTGGATAAGTTAATCTAACTTAGTTGGAGCAAACTTTTTAAGAAAACGGTGTCACATTTGTACATAAAGATGGAAATACACCATGTTCTGTTTCAACTTAAGGACAGAATCAAATTCAGTTACACCTTTCCTCATACTCCTGGATTTTTCTTATGAAACATGAGCTTTGAAGAATGAGTAAACCCTCACCTGGGAAAAGCCCATTCTTCTGTGATTGGTTACAACGGGGTCACGATGAAGCACAATCTGCCATTTAGCATCAGCTCTGAATAAAGAAATGACAAAACATTTCATTGATCCTTAAACTGAAAAAGAGAGACAAAACCATCTAAGTGTAGGATGAGTCAAATTTTAAAATATAATTTAGAACACCTGCAAAACTCCCTTGTTCCAAAATCAAAGTTGAATAATGATTTTCTTTCAACCTCTTACTTTAAGCGCCTTTGAAAATACGGTGATCCGGCAAATTTATACAGAATCCTCAGAGTGTAGCCCTTTATTTTTCCTTTAGTGTTGCCAACAAAGTGGTCGGCGGGGCCACAGGTTGCAGATGTTCTCACAGGTGGAGACGCAACAGCTTCCCAACCTGCTGTCCCCCTCCACGTGATCTCCCTCTGCTGCTGTACATCATGACAAAAGAATATACACTCTTTAGGAAGATGAAAATAATAAAAAACATGAAAAAGTGAACCACTAACCAGATGTGTGGTATGTTGTCGGACGTGTTGCCCTAACATTAACGTCAACTAGATTATTTCTCGACTGTATACGGCAGCCCGCGTGGGACAACATTAAAAAACACATGCTTTAGGGGAGCTGACAATGTTGGGTATTGCTTGAAAAAGTTGTATGACAACAGCAGTACTTCAGGTAACTCACCCCATCTGTTTTTTGAAATTCTTATAGATTATCGCTGCATGAGGCAGCTGCTAACTGAGCCTGCCAGATCCCCCCCCCCCCTTTGCTTCCCACCGCAGCTGCTCACTCATGCATGCTTCAAAACAACACTATGCCCAGGAAAACAGATCCATTACTGGGTCACTGTATCTAAAGTCAGGACTTTGCCGGTTAACGGAACATATAAACTATCTAAATAAAAAAGTCAACATTTTGCCGAGAAGAAATCACACATTTAATTTGCTGAGTGAAAAGTCACTGCAAACACACTCTGTGCCTGGTTTGTAAAGGATAACACATTCAGCTTTTACTGAAATAATACCCCTGCTTTGTTAATGACCTCACAAATAAAATGCATAAAAAGAGACATGCTCGTGCAATGGTAGAATCTGAAAAAGTAAACACTTTTTCTTGTTGTGAGAATTGTGCTGACAACCACCACACAACTTTTCACAGCTACAGAGGACGCAAACTAGGTTATTACAAGTGTTTGGTAAAGTTATAATTGATTTAAAACAACATAAGTTGAGAAAAATAAAAGCCCTACCTAACATAAAGGCACCATTCTTCATTATTAAACTGCAAACGTTGATGGATTTACAAAAAAAGATCAAATATGCTTTGCATTTTGACACTTTCCATCCCATCCCAAACTTGATATTTGGGGTTTCTACTTTCTGCTAACTGCTCATCATAAATGCTAATGGATCCATTTCTCACACACTTGTGTGCGACGCAACATCAGTGAGTTATGAATTCCAAATAAACGACAATAATAATTGCTTCCCCCTTTCATAAGGCAAACTCGGGCTCAGCAGCGTCATCATGCATAAACTTATCTCAAAACAGATTCCAGATTGGATCTTTAATTGCTTTTCCAGCTGACTTTTTAACATGTGTCTGTAAGCAATGTGATTAAATAATGGCGAAATTACATTAATAAGAAATGAGATGGAAATTGACGGCTCATAATTTTGGAAAACAGCGCAACGATAAACAGCTTCTAAGAAAGGCAGCGTCAGAATTTATGTACATAATTACAATTAGCACTCGCTTCAAATTGGGCACTTGCGTGGGGTAAGGTGTCACAACATCTGCAGCCAGAACTTTGGAAGAGGAAACCGGGCTGAACGGACATCTTAAGGTTTAGCATTCGTGTTTTTTTGTGAGGCTGCTCTGTGAGCGCTCGCAGATGGCTCATTCAAGTGAGCCAGATGTTTTAATGAATGCTAATGAAAAATAAAAGGTAAGAAGAAAACAACCATTGAAACACGTTTGACACTTACATTCACCGCGATGGAAGCGAAAAAGCGTTCAATAAGTAAATAAACATCATGCCCCAATTCATCACTTGGTTAATGGTCGGTGAAGAAAAAAAAAAAAAAAAAAAAGTTCAGTCAAATATCTATGGAAATGAGTGTTTGTCTATCCTCCCTTTTCAGTGATTAGGAATTAATTTAAATAATTAACGATGATCAACAGAGATGAGAGTGTTGCTCCTAGCAGGAGGACTGAAGTATGTTGATGAGTGAGTCTGTGTGTGTGTGTGTGTGTGTGTGTGTGTGTGTTAGACTGTGCCAGCACCTTGCATGTGGTGCTCTTTTACTTACTGATTGACTTGTTTGCGTGGCTTGAGGGGATGCGGATCTGTTTTGTTTTGTTGCCAGTCACAGCCAACTCGGAAGTCAGAATGCTATAGGTGACGTATTTCAATATGTCAGGGACAAATGTATAAGGCACATGAGCTGGGTCAGCTGATAAGTTTTAAACTTTCTGCCATATGAAAAGAAATAATCCAAGTTTGACTGTAATTATTTGAAAAAATAGCTTTTTTTATAGTAGAAATGTAAGGTGACAAGCTAAAGAAAGTGAAAATTAACTAAACGTAATCAAAGCATGAGACATCAGAACAAATCTTTTCGTTGTATGCCCATCCCTATGAGCAAATCTATCCAAATCTGTGGCTGAGTTCATACCCATACCTATTTTGAATTTAAAATAAATGCAGAGCCAACCGGTTCGGCATATTTTCCACAGTCCCCCATTCCCATCTTCCTCGTGTCTCACCCGTCTCCCTCATTTTCTCCATTTATTAAGATCATCTCTGTTGTGTGTGACCTCCGAGAGCAAAAATGACCTGAAATTGTGCTACATTTCTGAAGGCAATCTATCTCTGGAATAAAAAAAAAAGAAACGCTGGCACAGACAACAGCCTCACCCCTCCCATGTTTTCATCATAGCCAAGCATATTATCATTGTCTGAGGCAGCTCAGGACCAAGGCAGGGTGTCATGCCAAAGCCTGGCTTTTATGAGGGGTTTTATATTCATTTGATGATCCCGCGGGCCTCTGTTTCCTGAGTGGATTATCCGTATATGCCAGTGCTGAGCCCTTTTTATATTCAGCACTGCGGCAGAGTCAATAAGGTCCGTTCTGCATACAATATTCAAGATTATACAAGACAGACAGCATAATTCACACTCAATCAGAATACAAATGACTGAAGATGGCAGAAACAATACATTGCAAAACAAACACGGCTCATTTCGCGGGACTTGGAACGGTTTTCGCCACGGCCACCTTGCTCCACTCGCTTAAACCGTTCTTTTTAGCAAAGTATAAAACCGGGGAGAATTATTTGGCCCCACTTGGATTGGTGTCCTTGTTTTTTTTTTTAAAGTCACCTTCTCCCTTCGTTAGTTGTTTGAGCGTCGTTAAAGTGATATGCAGAGTATATGCGGCGATGTTTTTAATTGCATCTGTGTGTTATGAACCGTTTCCACCTCCAGCGACCATAAAAATAGCCCTCCACGGGATGGACCGGGAGATGAGAGAGGAGTACCTGGTGGTCATTCAGGCTAAGGACATGGGTGGTCACATGGGCGGCTTGTCTGGGACCACGACTGTGACCGTCACGTTAACGGACATTAACGACAATCCGCCGAAGTTCTCTAAAAGTAAGTAACTCCACAACCTCTGAAGTCCCAAATCTAATAAAGACAAGGAGCAAATTACTGTTCCGCTACATGAGTAATTCCCGTAATTGGGAAAAATAAATGTTATGCTGTAAATTTCATCAAATTGTTTCCTCTGAAGCCATTCCACTAATTGCGGTAATATATCACAGTGATTGAATTTAGCGTTGTTTCCTTCATTTGATTCACGTTTCAAGAAAAACCAAAAGGCTATATGCGTGTCATTCCCCAGGTTTGTATGAGTTTGTGATCCCTGAAGATCTTCCGATCGGGAAAATGGGCGGCAAGGTGAAGGCGAACGATCGAGATATCGGTGAGAATGCCAAGTCGACGTACAGCATCATAGAGGGAGATGACCAAGGCACGTTTGAGATTGTTACAGACGCACAGACTCAAGAGGGGATTCTGAGGCTGAAAAAGGTAAGATCAGAATAGACTTGCAGGTTTCAAGGTGCAGGATTTACTACGGTACTGTGTGTGTTCTGTGCTATCGCTATCAGTGCTGGCTGCTTTCGAAATGTCATCTTGCTTTATCAGATCAGGTATCACTCCAGCACTTTCCTTTCTGTATTTGGTCACTTCCAGATAACATAAAAAAAAATCTTTGTGACCAAATGCTAAACTCAGGGTTTTAGAACCAAAGAAAACAAATGACAATATGGCTACAGTCCATTATTGTCTAAGGTGGCTCTGAGAAGACTAATCCTGATAAAGCGGCAACAACAAACACAAGATTTAATTACTTTTGTGATCATCAATATTTTAAATGCCCAATACATGAGCCACGGCTCAACTCTGAGTACCATCAAATATTGTTGCTGTAATGTTCCAAACTGTTGTCTGGTGCTTTTTTGCTAATAAATTACGTCACGGCTGGCCTTTGGGACCTCATTTGTAAAGGATAACTACCTAAACCAAGCTGTGGTGAGTTGAATAAAGCCAAAAAAGGCTGAGTAGGCACTAATGGAAAAGCTCCATAAGTTACTTTGCTCTGAAAAGTCGTTTTTAAAGCATTACCTATTTAGCTGTAAAAACCCTTAGCTGAGGGGAAATTGTTGCACTCTGTAAAACGGTTCAAGATACATTCAAACTTTTGGCAAAAATCTGTTTTTTTGCTGACACTCACTTGACTACAAGGAACAGATGGGCTATAGTAAAAGCTGTAGTGCAGACACATCTTTAATTGAGAGCTGCAAATTGGCTCCCATGCAACTTTAGCAAAACAGTTGCTTCTTGATGGTCTTGCTCCAGGGTAGATTGGATGTAGTTCAGAATGGAAAAAAAAAAAAAAACACGATTCCATTTAAATTTGTTTATTAAAATGTACCCAGGTGTACGGTCCTGGGGACAAGAACCAGCAACATCCTTTTTTAGAGAACTTGAATATTTTACCCGGAGACAAACACATTAGCTCAACGCCGTGCCACACAGCTTGTGTTTTAGAGATAATTTCCACTAGTGTGGCAAAAAAAAAAAAAAAAAAAAAAAGGATTGATTTTGCTGGGTAATTTGCAGGTGTTGACAGAATAGGAACATTCGTGATTTTTTTCTCCCCTTTATTTTTTGTTGAAAATGTTGTCACCCACAGTAGTGTGTTCATAGCAATACAATATGAATGTTTTGCTCCGGGATAGAAGCTTCAGAGATTTGAGCCTGGATGTCACTGTTTGCCCGTGGGCATTAAACAGCACCCAGTTTCACTATGTATTCAGTAACCTGCATATGAGATCCACCTGGATCATGAATACATCCGTGGAAATTCATATCGAACACAGCGCGTTATTTATTCATGTAGGTATATGTTATAAATGTTTGGATTTTGAATTATACCCCCTGACTGATAGAGACACATGCTCTTACGCCTTGACTCGTGGCTGGTTCAGTGTCAGCCCAGACAGCTATACATCACTCATACGTGCAATGCCATTGTGCTGTCAGGTTAAATGACATAACCCCCAAGGAAATGTCATGTGACTTTGTCAAAGCGCGAACAACGAATGGCGTGGGAGGTGGAATGGGTACGTGCTAAGGAGGTCTGTGGGGACCGTAATTCGTAGCCTCCTTAGAAAAAGCGTCGAGAGGCGAAAAACAAACGTGACAACAAACTTCTAAAAAATCTCCAACTGTTGACAAAGCAAATGTCACGCGTTAATCCGTCGGGGGAAAAGTCTTTTTGCCACCCCTGCTGAGAGACTTAGTCCTACCATGTCTGCTCAGCTTTCTATTTGTGGCTGCCAACAAGAGCTCGCTGGATAATGCGTTGGAGAAGTAGCAAGCTGCTCGCAAACTTTTTTTAAAAATTCTTATTAGATGTCTTTTTTTTTTGTCTTTTCCAAAATGTACTGGTAGAAGCAATCGTTGCGATTTTTGCTGGAACTGCACTTGCGGTATCTCGACAGGTTCAGGATGTCCCTTTCATCAGGAGTAGGAGCTCATCGACTTCCATCTCGTGCAGAATTTTGAATTATTTACGATCTGTTGTGGCAAATTTTAAAACATATTGATCTAACGGAGGCCAAGCAGGCACACGCCGGGGCAAGGCTTCTTTGCCGTTTGAGTTTTAAGCCTTTTATCTGTTAGCCCCCAGGCCTGTGGAGGGATGTTAGTGGGATGCTGAGCTTTCACCCCTGCAGCCTCTGGTGAACTTTCAAGTCTCTAAATGGCCAGAGCGTACATACTGATGTGATGCTAATGCCTGACTGAGACCGAAGAATGACACGGCGGTTTTCAGGGGTTGGACACATGAGGGACTTTTAAGACATAAGTGAAAAGAATGCATGATTTGGCTCGGTCTATAAGGTTAGCTTCCTTTTGTAGAAATGTATTTATCTCAGGTATAGGCCGTGTTGTTTAAAGTGGACATTTAAGCATGTACAGTAACCACGCAAATTTGTCTACATAATGTCTGGTAGCACTATTGTTTTCCTTTTCGACCCATAAATATCTCAACAATAAGCAGAAGCTATACAGCCCCACCGTTCATACTAATAGTAATCTAATTTGGTTGGATTATTCCCTAGAAGCACTGTGTTCGTTTATTGAATCAATAATTTCAAAGGATCAAAATGTGACTTGTATTATGGTCCCGTGGCCAGGATATTATCGAGTACAACACAAAGAGCAGCTTACGTAGATGCTTTATTTGATTTTTAAACCAATACTGGAAAAGATTTTAATTAAACTCAGTTGGGGTAATTAAAGAGGCTATTTACCGCTATGTTTTCCTTGAAGTGGATATGGTGAAATTAAATCTGCCAGAAACTCTGAAACGCCCCCTCTCCCTGAGTATTGCAGTGTTCTTACCTGTATATATATTGAGTTGACAAGCCGTACAGAGAAATACCCTGTTAAACTTGACAAGTTAAGTTATAAGTTGAGAACCCCTAATAAACAGCCCAAAACATTCTATCTTACAGGAATAAGTAGACAAAATTTATATTTTTACTTGAGATACAACTTCTTTGGACTTTCATGAATCCAAATTTGATCTTACAAGTCTGCTCAAATTATATTCTGTCCATGTCGGACACTTAGACACATTGTTTATTTTTAAGGCAATACATATGTAGTATTATAATGTAAAGGTACCCGATTATATTAATGATTTGAAAGGAATCCATTCACATACACCATTGTTTCTACCTTCATTCTATCTCTATCTCTCTCTCTCTCGCTCTCTCTCTCTTTCTCTATCTGTGTGTGAATATATATACAGTATATATAATTCAATGAATATTTGCTATAATTATTTTACTGTAAACTGAGAATGGAGATAATCTACATAACACATTTTTTTAACCAAAGTTGTATGATGCAATAGAGCTCAATCATCTATAAATCACACTCTATATGATGCATATAACGTTAAAGGGATAATATCTAATAATCAATCTTATCAAAACCTTGTGTCCATCGTTATCCGAAGACTGCCGCACACACAGTTTGTCGGGTTTTGTTAATCCTCTCACTGAGTGAGATTCTCTGTCCATTTCATAGTCACGCAAGCCACCGGCTGCAGTTCTCGCTAGTTTGCTGTACTTTTCTCACCACAGACGGTCGGTTCAGAGGGAGAGAAAAAGGGAGGACTGAAGGAGGGGGGTAGGTGTCAAGTGAGGAGGAGGATCAGGAGGCGAAGAAGGGGAGGTTAATAATGAGAGGTTCTGTGACTGTGGAGGAGTGGGGCTTGGAGTGGCTTGAGGGGCTTTGGTCTCTCCGACACCAGGACGGTGGGAGCGTGGAAGTCAAACCCCTTGGTCGCTTTCGGCGCCCCCTCGACTGGAGCAAACGTCTCAAAGCTAGTCCAGCAGACACCCCTCTTTTCCACTCGCCCCCCCTCCCCTCCGCAGATCTCTCAGCTCTGGCCTCGTCTAACCTCGGGGACAATTTCCTCTCGCAAAAAGTCCCCTTTTTCTCAAACTGAATACATTTCTCGTTTTGTTCATCCTCCTTTTAGTCCTCCCCCTCTTCCCCTCAAGCGGCAAGGCCCACTTTTGATTTCCCTATAAATCCCGGTTATGGAGCGTGGAAGGGACTTGATCCCATTATTCTAGTAGTATGAGAACGTCCAGAGGTGATTCAGAATGAAATTGTGACAGCCTTCAGAGATGGTAAGAGACTCAAATGCAGACTCCTCTATCTCTCTTAAAAATAACGATGAGCCGCCAGTAAAGAAAATACTGCATATTAGTATTGGCAAAGTGGATTAAACCGATGAGACACTCAATTATAAAAAAAAAAGCATACAAAATGTCTATGGTTTTCTTGGAAAAATGCAACTTTTTTCAAAGATTCTTAGTTGAACACTCGCTGTTAGTTTTTCTTTTCAGGTTGGATGGTTGTTCTGCTGACTAAACGTTTTAATCATTGATGCAAATGTTTTTCAGTTTTTTTTCAAATTGTGCATCTTTGAAGACTGCAGTTACAGTGACCGGCTGATCCAAATCCAAAATGCTGATCAGATTACTAAAAAAATGCACAGTGTGATCGCAGCCACCTAGATTCTTAACCCTGGAAAGATTTGCAGTAGCGTCTTTTTAATATCTAAACATTCAGTTGGAAATGTCGATTAAAACGAGATCCTTCAAGGTAGCGGATTTTTATCAAAGTGCAAAGTGTGGCGATACATTTGAGTGTCTTCTCTCAGATATGTCACATTTGTCGAAGACGCACTCATTGGCAATCATGAAGGTCTTTAATTTTAAATAGACCTATTAAAAAGGTATAAAAGGTTTATATACACCCAATTAAAAAGAGAGAGCTACCACTGTTGACCAATTTTCCATATTTAATTTGTTTAAGCCTACTATACCAGCAATTGAAAGGTACGGTTTTAAAAAAGATTCCATAACCAACTAAACCACCAAGAGTGAAAAAGACTGTAATTATCTTTCTTTTCTACATCCCAAAGCTCAAGCATGGTGCTAGGGTTTAGGGCAAACAGCGATTCTTACATTTTGTCTTTCTTGTATAGTCTGAACACTTTGTGATGCACTACCGTTATTATATTATGACTGTTTTTATCCAATGCAACATTTTGTTTAGGAAATCCTGTGCTCCCCATGACCCACTAGGCCGCACAAATCCTTTGCTAAGGGAAAACTCTCCATATTAGGAAGTCATAATCTTATGGCTGATAGATGCTTATATACATATGCATGCCCTCCTTTCCTTTAACCTATGTTCCAAAGCAAGTTGAGATAACCCCAGCAAATAAGTATGTTAAAAAAACATTTTCACACCTCAAATAATACTTTCATAATGTGAAGTGACAATAATTCAGGACAAACAATCAGAGATGAATAGCAACAATGAAAAATATGTATATCTGTTAATGGAAAAAAAGCATTGCATTGAGCTTTTTTGTGTTTTTTTGTTTTTTGTGTTTTTTTTCCACCAAAGTTGCTCAGAGAGCAGCAGTCATTATTTGAAATGAAAGAGTTTCCTACACTGGGAAAGGTGTTAGATTTTGAGGGGTTTGTGTTTCTTTAAAAGTGAGATTGTGTGAAGTAATCGACGTGTGAAGTGGTCAAGGTCCTAGTTGCAGTAGACAGTCTGCAGTCTGGAGACTCGGATTCAGGTTAAGCTTAAAGCTAATCAGGATGAGGCTGTGAAGAAAGAATATATTTTTTACCATTTAAACTAGGTTGTAACCTAGATACCTTAACATTTTTATTGTGATTCTTTTTTTAAATGACTCACAATTACTTCATAGACTTGGTCTATGTGACACCTAAACAAGTACTTTTTTCATGCCTTAAGTTTACCAAATTAAACAAGGATATTTTAAAGAAATCTTATCTGAGGATGCACTGAAGTTTTCAATGCTTGATATATCTGAACGAGGGCCTGCCTTCAGAGAGCAGTTTCTCTGTGAAAGTGAAAGAAAATTTCATGTGGACATTTTTAAACAAGTCCTCCATCATGTCTCCCCACTTGGCACCTATTGGCTCGTGCTTATATACACCAATGGATTCTTTGTAAGGTTTTATCCTCTTAAAGACTGAGTAACAAAGTAAAACACCATAAAATCACAGCTATAACGTAGTTGAGTTAATGTTCTATCAACGTTAATGTTTCCACCACTGGATTGAGTATGAAATGCCTTATGCAGCTTTTGACCCCCTTTCTTTATATTCCTTCTTCTTCTTTTTACAGCCCTTAGATTACGAGAGCAAGAGAGCGTACACGCTGAAGGTGGAAGCGACCAACGTTCGCTCGGAGCCCAGCGGCGGCGGGCCCTTTAAGGACACGGCCACCATGAAGATAGTGGTGGAGGACTCGGACGAGCCGCCCGTTTTCTCCAAACCCGTGTACCTGCTGGAGGTGAACGAGAACGCCCCCATCAACTACGTCATCGGGACGGTCAACGCCAGGGACCCGGACTCCACCGGGAGCCAAGTCAGGTGAGAATCAGCTAAAGGCCAGGTCTCGACAGAGCTTTCGGTATTTTTATTTTTTTCCCTCGACCATCTGCTGCTGACTCACTCGAGATGGAACGCAAGACTTGCAGAAGAAAAGAACTGTCACGTCTGGGGGAAATGTTGGTGTTTTTGTCTTGTCTCCATGTTGTCTTTTCATTCCCTGTTTTATTTTGAAAGATGCATCCCCTTGTTTCAGGTCACTTGCACTTCCTGTTGTGTTCCCAGTCTGATCGTCTCCTTGATTACCTATTGTGTACACCTGGGGTTCCCCTCCCTCATGTGTTTAAATAGTCCTCGTTTCCCCTTGTTTGGTGCGAGTGCGTTTTCGTCCTTTTCATCCGTTTCGTCCTTTCGTCGTCTGTCTTTCGTCACCCCCACGTCAGTCCAGGTTTGCTTTTTGCCACAGTCTTGTTATTCTTAATTTTGTTACTTTGCCATTGTCATAGTTTTTTCCACAGCCTTGTCACAGTTTTGCTAATCTTTATTTTGTTACTTTGCCACAGTCTTGTTTACTTATTGCTTTGATACTTTGCTCACAGTTTTCCACAGCCTTGTTTTGTACCATGTCTGGACATTCACTCACTCATGAGTGTTTTTTGTTACAATAAACCTTGTTTTCCGTCATCTCCGCACCTGAGTCCTCCCTTCAAGAACCCACCTTCCTGACAAGAACGCTTTGGCTTAAATTCAAGAATCATTGGCTGAAATAGTGTAGGTTAACAAATGAGTCCTTTCAGGTTATAAAGACTTCTTTAATAAAATATATATAAAAAAATTGACACTGAGGCATGCAATTAAATCGCTTCCTGTCCCTGACCTTTGGAGATTCCGGAACTGTCTGGAGCAGCGAGGAAGCTTCTTTCATTTCTATAGATGAACAAAAAAGAAAAATGCAGATTATGAGTTGAAGAAAACCGAACTTTTCTTTTCCTTGTGCGACCGATCCTGCTCTAGAATAGCACATTCTTTTCTTGTGTGACTTTATTCTTGGAAATACCGCAAGGGCACCTTGAGGATAGGTTGTACAGGCAATTTCTCTCCCTCCACCTTGGCATTTCATTAATTCTCCAGTGACTTGCTGACCGCATTCCCGGGACAACACTCAACAGGTTGTGTGTAATTGCCTGGTGAGCAAAGTGCAGGCTGGGTTTCAGAGATTGCTTGATGCTATAGAAATGGACTGGTTCATTCTACCATTCTACTTTCGCTTTCTCCCATTTTTTTTTTCCCCGTCTTTTTTCTCTCTCTTTTCTGCTTCTCTGGCTGCATTCTCATGTATAATGATGAGACTGCCAGGAGAAGGAATTGAGCCCCCAGGTTACAGGATGCTTCTTCTCTCATGTGTAATAACATCTTTTGCCTGTTTGTCCTTATCTCAATGTTTGCTATGCTGGTCTGTTTCTATATATATTTATACATATTTATGTATGCATATATATACATATATATGACAAAATTGATCATTTAAAATTGGTACTGCTTGAAAAAAAAGAAATATGTGGAATCACTACTGTTGGAGGATGATTTAGTAGAAGTCAAACAGTAAAACAAGAAAAAGTTAAATATCATGAATTATCATTAAGTTCTAAATGAAAAATATCTGCAAAAACTCTAAACCTGCAAGTTAGTTAGACTTTAAAGAGCTAATTATATTTGCAATGACTGACAGAAAACACACAAACCCAACAATAGTCGGCTGTTAACCTCTTCTATTGACGAACAAAATGTTGGCCTTTTTCAGCATTATCTAACATTTGGAGCTGTTTGTAAATGTACGAGCCAACAAAGTATGAAACAAATGATACAAGCAAAATACTGTAGATGCAAAGATGTAAATGGTAGACATGGCAAAACCTCAGGACTGAGAAATCAAACAACAGGAAGTCACTTGAACATGAATCTGGATTTCAGAAGATTAAAATTTAGATAATGTTAAAAGTTTTGTGATGCATGTGTGATTATTTTCAACCAAAGGAAACAGAAAACAAAAGTAATATAATTACAAAATGGTCATAGTTTTCTTACATGCTACATGCATAGTGATCCACTTTTTTAGATTGAATCATCTCAAAATTTGCATAAATTGCATTTGCTGCAAAAAACACAAAAACAAACTGTTCAGATATCATGACATGGCTCTAGTGATGCATTGAAGTGTCACCAGCTCCCTTCTTTCTATGCTAGGCCCTTTGCCTTGTTTCTGCCGTTTATTTTTGTCTCTTTCTTTTGCATTCAAATATGTTCTACTTGCAACAGCCACAAAGCTCTTAATCACTAATTTCACCATTTGTAGAGAGGTTGTGCTGTCAAGAGAAGTGGCATCAGGCTAGAAAAAAAATAGAACACAAAAAGAAAAGTGCTTTTTCTAAATGTTCTTGAAAAAATGTTTCATTGTTACTGTCAGAGAGGAAACAGAAGCAGCTTTTAGAAAGATGTAATAATTACTTGCTCTCTGAGGTCATGAGAGAAGACTAAATGCCTTAAATTGATCAAACCATCAGACATTGCCTCTCCATTTTCTGTTTTGTTGCAGCAAACGGTCTCATCTGAATGTTTTTGTCAAATCCACACCATTTTTTATTTAATTTTTTTACCTCCGCCCACCTTGCAAATCTTTAACATGATCTATCACTGATGCTGAGTGCTTTCTTTGTGGGGTTAGATAAGATGAAACAAAGCATTGTCGTGGAAGGCTTAGAACGATGCATCACCCTAAACCTCAAAGACCATTTGATTGTGCTTCCAGTCACGGTTTGTATTAGCCTGTAAGTCTGAGCTCTGCGCTGATAAAATGATTACAGGCCGGGAGATTTTAATCCTGCAAAATATCCGGTCCGAAAAAAGCGGGTTGTAGCCTTATTGATGTCTTTTGCAAAAATCACAAGTATTTTCTAAATCATGGACGACCTTCGGTGGGATTCTTACCGGAAAACAAGCCGAACAAAAGAACTTGACTTTTTTCATCATCGAGTAGCATTTTAGTCAGACACATCAAGAGAAAAGAAAAAAGCACTTTTAAAAAATAAAGCAGACAATGAATTTTTGTAGGTCTGACTCCTTTGTCTATCCTTCAAAATGTTCTCCATAAAACATAAATTAGTTGAGAAGCAGGTGTTTTTGAAGAAAATAACAAAAACAAAATGAAAATGTCAGAATTCAACTTTCTCATTATGTTGAGCCTTCGCGCTTTAATTAGTCATAGATTACCATCATCCAAAAATGTTCCTCCTATCTATCTATCTATCTATCTATCTATCTATCTATCTATCTATCTATCTATCTATCTATCTATCTATCTATCTATCTTTAAATCTATTCAACTCACAATGAAAACAAGTAACTAGTCACACAAACAAACATCTATCTATCTATCTATCTATCTATCTATCTATCTATCTATCTATC